AAACCATTCTCCAACATAAGTAAAACTAAGAACATGATGCATGAATTAAAAAAAAAACACATAAGTAGAAATTATTTCCGTTGCCAACATTTTTGTTTTTACCATATTAAATATAAATAATAACATTAAACTCATGAATGAATTGTATATCCTTTCTTCCTGTGCTTTGAGTTGGTAATACACACACCCACCCTCACACACACACACACATACAGATTCCAAAATATTTTTAGTATCAATTCTAAAAAGAACGATAGAAAAGTTAGTGTAACTATGCGGTTACTTGTTCGGTTGGAGCGGGGGGGGGGGGGGTCATTTATAACGAGTTTACTTCATGTTGTAATTAGTTCATGTATTGCTATCTGTTTTCGTCCTTCGCCCGTCTTACATTAACGTTTGAACACTTTCACTTTCTTCTCTAAAACCAAGGAACCAATATCAACCAATTTTGGCACAAAACATCTCCGAGTGAATTGGAACAAACATTGTAAATATCATGGTCCCTGATCCCACCGGGCCTTAGGAGTGGGGCTGATTATAATATGCTTTGAACCTTCTACCAAAATTGTGAAATTCATGGCCCAAGGGTCAGGGATTCTGGAGTTAGGATGGGTCACTAATGATTATATAGAGAAAATGCATAAATCCCTAAAAAATCTTCTCTCCCCCTGTATATAAAGCATATTAAATTAAGTGCATTGTTATGATGATCAAGGGTGCCTCTTTCAAATTGTGAAATTTGTGACCTCAGGGTGATGCGTTCTGCAGGAGAGGAGCTCAATTGATTATATAGTGAAAGTGCATTCTTTTTGTGAAAATCTTCTTTGCTTCTATGCATTAAGGAAACAAATCAAGTAGTAGTATAAAGTTATGGTGAGCAAGGGCGCCTTTTCCAAAATTGTGAATTTCATGGCCCTTGGGTAAGGGGTCCTGGTGATACGGTGGGCATATTGATTATATAATGAAAAAGCTTAAATTCTTTGAAAATCTTTTTCTTTATCCCTGGGTATTTAGCAGACAAACCAATTGCATGGACATGATGAGTAAGCTTGTCGCTTCCAAAATTGTGGAATTTTTAGCCCCAGTGAGGGGTTCTGTGGGAAGGGAGATTCTTTTGATTATATAGTAAAAGTACATTATTTCTATGAAAATCTTCTTCTCTGCTACTGGGAATTAAACAAAGTAAACACTATAGTAAGTGCATAATTATGATGAGCAAGGGTGCCTCTTCAAAAACTGAATTTGATGGCCCCTGAGTTAGGGGGTTCTGGTGTTAGGGTTGATCAGCAAGGAAGCTTCTTCTAAAATAGTGAAATGTGTGACCCCAGGATCAGGGGTTTAGGTGTGTGTGTGTGGGGTGGGGGGGGGGGGGGGGGTCGCTGGAATTATAGTGAAAATGAAATATAGTGTAGATGCAATTTTTTAAAATCTTCTCTGTTCCTTAGAATTTAGTAGACAAACTAATTGCATGGTTATGATGATAAAGGATGCCTCTTCAAAAAAGTTTCAAATTTATAACCACTGGGTCAGGAGTTCCAGTGTTCGGATGTGGCTCTTTTGAATGTATAGTAAAAATACAATAGGTTTTGAAAATCTCCCTCTCTGCCCATGGGTACTTAGTAAACATACTAAATGCATGGCTATGATGAGCAAGGGTGCTTCTTCCGAAATTGTGAATTTTCTGGCCACTGGGTCAAAGGCTCTGGTGTTAGGATGGGGCTATGTTAAATCTGTAGTGAAAATGCCTTATTTCTTTGAAAATGTTCGTCTCTGCACCTGGATATCTCGGAGGGAAACAGAGTATATAAAGTTGTAATAAGCAAGATTATTTATACCAGGTTTTTAAAATTCTGCACCTTTGGTCAATTTATTATTTTGTATTATATTGACAGAAATTATTCCCCTTTGCTATTCACCTATGATAATTAATCTCTGTAAATGTATTTGTAGGGTCAACTGGATAACAGAATTATACAATTTTTTTTTATAACAAAATGTACTTTCACAATTTTTAATGGTCAGGATCTTTACGTTAACGCGACGTTAAATTTAACAGCGAGTTTAACCGGTTGCACAAAAGTTAACTAACAGTTAAAGCCTAATTAATTTTCTGATTTAACTAACAGATTTAACTCAGGTTACCTAGGTACATTAAATATTTAATTAAGCATTAAAATCAAAATCGCGGACTTGTTATCATTTCAAAAGTTGTTTGCGTGGAAGGAAGAACTTATACAGAGATGATAGAAATATCTGACTTGAGCAACATGCAAATTTAATCCCCATTTCGATTTAGGCAAGATTGTATTATACATGTATATATTGCGGATATATGTTGCGATATTATCTGCAAAGAAAAACAAGAGCCTGGTGTTTAAAAATTCTGATCATAGCGAAAGGATCAAAGATTCGAGTGGCGGATCTTAAAATTCAAAATACGACGACATCACCATGTTTTTTTTAATTAAGAGTTTTTGACAATAATATCCAATGTGTCTCGAATATACTTCATAGATAATCTCGTAGAGACACCAGACCAAAATTTTTAGTCTCTACGGATCTCGCTGAGATTAACTTCATAGTATCCGACACTTTAAAATTTTATCCCTGTTGTACAATTCTTCGATGTTTTCAACTCGGAAGTTTATTGGCTTCATGTAATTCCTAACACATAAAACAGGAGGCCCTAGGCCGCATCGCAAGCCTGAGAAACTTTAGCCCTGTTGTCCATAGAGATTTTTTTAAAAAAGATTTTTTTCTTTCTTATTTCCATGAAAATTTATTATGACCCCATCTTAACTAGAAGAGGTAACTAAATCTATACAACATAGTCATGCATTAATATCAATGTGACTACAATGGCCTTGAAGTTCTGGAGAAGAAAATTCCTTCCCTATGTGCATGTAATGTAAAATTTGATCTTAATTTCAGCAAACTCTAATACAGGGTCCAAAAAAGGGAATTTGCACAACTTTGGAATGTCTTCAAGCTAACGGTTATATATTGTGTTTCATCTGTGCTGGTCCAATTGTTCCTGAGAAGATTTCATTATTCATTATTCCAATATACATGTATCTGTATTTCAATGTAAAATCATCCACAATCATGGACACACTCTAACCCCGGGGGTCATGATTTGAATAATATATGTCATTAAGCTTGCATATACGATGTGTTTCATCTGTTCTCGTCGTAGAGGAGTAGATTTTTAAAGATTTGTTCAGATTTTGTTAGAATATTAATTTTAATAAATATATAAATATCTGATTCATTCCTATGTAAAATTTTGATTCCCTATCGTCGCCCACCTAACCCTTGCTGGCATTGATTGGGCTAATTCAGATGCTACACCATGTCAAGAAGCTTACAATAAGATTACAGACAAACGGACCAAAATAGGTTACATGAGCATTCGGTTTTGGTTTGCCAAAACAAAACACAGATCTAAAAAAACTAACGAGGTTACCATCACCATTTGTTCACAGAAGTTGTTACCGACCACTACCATCCTACTCTTAAAATTTGAGATCTGGGGCAAAGGACTTCAATATCTCTAGGCCCAATAATTATTCAGTATTACATAGTAGACAAAAAAATAAGGGTCGATCTCGGAAACGGGGAATGATACCATCACCATTTTTTCACAGAAGTGGTAACTTACCACTAGTTCCCTACCCCTCAAAATTTCAGACCCTGGGACACGGGACTTCAATGTCCCCGAGCTCGATATTTATTCACTATATATTATATAGTGGGCATAAAAACTTGAGGGATCGATTTCGGAAACTAGAGATGGCACAATCGTCATTTTTTCACAGAAGTGGTAACTCGCCACTAGTACCCTACCCTCAAAATTTCAGACCCCGGGACAGAGGTCTTCAATGACTCCGAGCCCGATGTTTTTTTTTAAATTAGTATTATATGGTAGGCATAAAAAGTATATAAAAAAAAAGACACATCATCATTTTTCACAGAAGTGGTAACTGACCACTAACTAGTACCCTTCCCTCAAAATTTCAGACGCCGTAACAGATATTAAAAATTTTGAATTGCGTTCTGCGTTCTAGAAAAACGTTCACCTTTTAATTGCGACTTGCGAACTGCGTTCCAAAATCTAATTGCCAGATTGGAACCATATATTTTTAGATTTCATACTAAATTTGAGATGCTTGAGTCGAAAACACTCATATTTTCATTAAAAAAATCAGTTGATTTTCATATAAACTTTAAGCAAAATACATGTATTTTAGACATGATTTTAGCATGGATAGAAGAGAGAAACGCCTATTCTGAGAAAGGAATAGGGGTAAATTTGGCTGTAGGGTGAGATTTCCCCTGTGGGGGAAGACCTTCTCTAGAGTACAAATTCCGTTGGAAAGCTGGCTATGGGCAGAAACCCTCCTCTCGACACTGATATTTGACACCTAAAAAATCCAAATTGAATACATTTTTTAATCATGCCCGAACTTTCTAAAGTAAACCAGGTTTATTGCTGTTGTCCTGGTCTGTCTGTCGTCTGTCACAATCTTCTTTCTCAATCTGCTCTTATATTATAGTAAGAGCAAAAGATATTTGGGAAAATATTTGTTAGTGTCGTGTAGAAAAGCCAATTTTCTTCGGGGGTGGGGGAGGCAACTGGGGGTTAAAAACGATGTGTATATCTACAATGAGCTGGTTCCCAGAAATTTTACATTTTACAAAGTAGCTAAACCATCTTTTGAAATATGAATAATGGTGTCCTGTGAATGCGTGATAAGGTTTTGGAATTTTATCCTGGAGGCTAAGTGGGTGTCGAAAACACCGGTTTTCCAGAACTCTTACATTTCAAGCGCCAGCCAATCCATCTTTTGGCATTTGATTGGTGGTGCCCCGTAGATATTCAATTAAGTTTTAAATTTTTCATTTTCATCCTGGCGGTCAATTGGGGTCGAAAAACGACCTGGTTCCCAGAACCCGTCTGTAAATCATGTTTAGGAATATGATTGGTATACAAGTACAAACAGTTTGAATTCAGCAATAACCTTAGGCTTCTACTACAGAGAATAGTTCTCTAAATTTTATTCTAAATAGTATGAAAGCCTAAACTTTGCTACTCTATTCTCTTCAGAGGCATCATTATTTTGAAATAAAAAGTTTTACATGTATTACTTATGCAAAATCTACAAAATCATGAAACATATCAATCGTTGAAAAATGAAATGGATTCCAAAGACGGGTCGTTTTTCTTTAAAATGTCAAAAGCATTTTTAAAAACCGAGCATACAACCAGATTTAACTTGGAATCGTGTTTATTTTGCTTTTCTTCTTGCTTTTCTTCGTCGGAGTCAGATCTAGCCTCATATCTACCAGCGGTAAGCACAGCTATGACTTCAAGCTTTCTATCCCTCGTATTAAACGATTCTCGAAACACTATGGAACCAGAGTCTCCCGGTTCACCGAATTCTTCATCATTCATCCCCTTAACTGCAATAATACCGTCTACATTCCCGATGATTTCTGAGGAAACAATTCTACCCTGTGTCCATTGTGAGGATGCACCTAACTTATGAACAATGTCGTCAATGAACTTCAAACTGTCTTCCTCAGGAGATACTTCAGCCTTTGTTGGTTTTCCCTTGTGATTTAGGAGTCCCTTACTAGAGAAGGCGTTCTCTACCTCTTTATTAACTCCAACAATTGCTAAATCGCTTTGAATTGTTTGGATTTCTCCCTTTCGATTTTGAAGGCATCTTCCTACAGGTATTCGCTCATTTGATTCATGTTCTATATAAACCGTACTGTTCTCTATGCATACATGTCTGCATGATAATGCAACCACGCGCTCCTGGTTCAGTATTGCTAGACAGCCGAGAGTCCCATAATTGTCCTCCAAAAGTGACTGATACAGCTTCGTTCCCTGAGCTTGATATCTGGCAAACGGTATGACTTGCTCTTTTAAATTTTGTTTAGATATTACAACAATTTTACAAAAATCTGTTGAAGTCACTGTTTCAAATGCATTTTTTATATCAGATTCGTAACTGTCATCCACAATCACTCGAAAATCTTCGAAATGGAAGCCATATTTGACAATATGTTTTTTAAACCTATAAGAATTATAAAAATATATAACTTACTACAGTGTACAGGTTTTTTTTTACGAAATAGCAAATCTTTCTATAAAATTTAAAATAAAAATTGTGTGCCATAATTGTAACATCTTATTTTCAGAAAATAGGTTATGGGCAATACATTCAGTTTTTAAAAGCTGGAAAAAAAACTTTATAAAGTTTAAATATTGGTTTCAGGAGAAGGTTGCAAAGGTCAAAAAATCCTTTGCAAATACTTGTAGTGTAGTATGTATCTTTCAAAGTATTGAGATTTATTGACTTTAAAAAAACATCTGTTGAAGTACATGGAGATAGAGAGAGGGAGAGAGAGAGATCACCTTTCCAAGATGATATTAATTTCCCTTGGAATTTCTCTCGACTTCTGTCCAGCCTTTATCCCAGGAAACGAAGAGCATTTTTGCATACGTGTAATGATGGCGTCACTGTCTGCTAGAAAAAGTGAATTCAGTTTTCGATGAGGAAATTTCTTTTCTTCTTTAAGATAGTCTATAAGAGAAAGCTCTAACGCTGAAGTCAGATTATCCAATATTGCATCTGCCTCGTGGAATACAACCGAGAAACGGCCGTCTTCCTTAAGCCTTGAGTAATCTTCGTGTGATTCGGACTCCGATGTTACAAACACACACCATTTAGAGCTCTTGATAATTTTTTCCTAAAAAGATAAAGATTTAAAAAAATTATTTAAAATAATTTTCTCTTATATTGTTAAGTGTTTAACTTTTCACTGTTTTCGCTTTCGGCGTTTATTCAAAGAATTGTGCAAGCCAATTGCTTGATCACACCATAAAACCAAAAAAATCAACAACAACAACAAAAAAAAAAGGGGGGGGGGAGAGAGAGAGTTTATTCCTTAAATAACATTGGATATGTAGTTGGCTTCAAGCTTGTTGTTTAGGTAGGACAATATCAGTGTTATTGAGAAAGAACCTTTATTTTTTTAATACCTCTGCTAAACTTCGGCTTCTGTTTTCTGCTCCTTGGAAACCAATAAAATAAATCAGTATTGCATGGCCCAGTCCCTGGGACGCTGTAACAGAAATCGATTTAAATATAGTCATAAAGCAAGCTACTAAAATTTAACTTTTATTTTGCATAATTTCATTTTAAATGATTGTGACAATAATATATTCGGGCTTCCAGTTCGTTGTCAAATTAGAAAATAATAAGACAAAAGACTATTAAAGAATTATTTTATCAGTCTTACATGGGAATTCATTTTCATCAGCAGTCAGTGGCTTTAGAAGTTTTAAGTTGTCTGTTGTAACCCTTCCAGCGACCAGAATTGTAGCACGCAGAGCCTCAGATAGATCTGGTGTCATAACTTCACTGTCCACTGATTCTTCATGGTCAATTAGTTTTTGGACCAGTTCAAAATGATATTCGAACCTTGGAAAATTATCTGGTTTAAACTTCACACGGTAAACAGGATGTCCAGAAAACACTGCAGAAATAAAAAAAATATCTTATTCTGATATTTCATATATAAATAGGACATCACACCTTGTTCCACTTAGAAACTCTATTTTAAAATGCACATTATAAAAATTTCTGGATGGTCTGTAGCCTGTTTGTCAACGTGTAACTCTCTTAAAGCTGAGAAGTTGAATCATTTTTGTTTGTCAATGCTTCCTTAATTTCGTAATTATCTTCAGTTAATTTGTTAATGTTATAAAGTTTATATAGGCATACATATTTAAATTCTTTCCATGTGTGAGACCTAACATGTTTTATAACAGTATTGTTAGGCCATTGTTTTTATACTGTTTGAGTACGGATTACTCCGTGTTCCTAAAAATACATAGGGCTCACGGCGGGTGTGACCGGTCGACGGGGATGCTTACCCCTCTTAAGCACCTTAACCCACCTTTAGAGTTTCCAAGGGTCCGTGTTTCATGCCTTGTTTACGAATTTGTATTGTTTTAAAGACTTTTGAGATCGATCACTGTTCGTTATTTTCACCTTTTTTACCTTACAGTACTTGTAGATAATATGCTTCTCCTATATTTCGATGACTATTTATTGTATAACGTAGTCTACTTACCTTCCATTGTTTGTAAGCCTTCTTCCTTCCCTCTTTTTGAGCGACGATATTGCCTCAAAATGTTTAAAATTGAAGGATAAGTATTGTCGTTCTCAGCAACGTCTAACGCAAAATCTACTGACGAGTCCTCACCTACTGCTAATTGTAATTCTCTGAAAATGTCTTTGGTCAAGCTTAGGTAGTCAATTTCTTCTACAGTATCTACCTCCTTCAATTTTTTTCTCAGACGCTCAGTACCATCTCTAACTTTTTTCCCCAACTGCAAAAATCCAACTTTGTTTTGCAGTGATGATGCCCTTTCTAGGAAATTAAACAGATCTGTGTGGTAATTTTTCAACTTTTCTAATTGTTTCATGATATCACTACTACTTTTTTCAAATCTCTGTTTTTTGCCCCGGAATCCTGTTCTCACTGCATCAAAATTTTTTTCCAATGTATTCAGACACTGTTCTTTTAAGGCCTCTATTTCCCTGTCTGTATCCATTAGCTGACATTCTTGTGTTTCCTTTAATTTTTGACAGGATTTTATTTTAGAGAAATCGATCTTATGCAAATCATCCTTCAGTGACTGTAGTACAGTTTTGAATTCATGATCTATTGGAAAAATCATGTTTCCACAATCCATGTGAGAAATTTCAAGACATTCTGGGCAGACTGCTACCCCGCAAAGCCTACAAAAAGATTCAGGTTTCTGTTTGTGCTTTTCACAAAACAAAGGAGCTCTAAATGCCATAGATAGATTGTTTGACCAATTATTCAGTGGTATAGGGCTTAATTCGTGACTGCTGAAGATTTTCATGCGATCGTGACAACTTAAACATTTTCTACATATCAGTCCGCACTCCTTGCACATTTTCACTGCTATCTGATCATTGCCTTCTTTACACTGTTCACAGTTCACTTCTCCAAATTGTTCAAATTTCAATATCTCAATGATGCCTTCATTCAAAATGAAATCATCCAGTGCTTTTGGCATATCCGCTCTACAGTTTGGACACCTTTGGTTAATTTCTTCATTTTCAAGAATTTTTAACAAGCATTGGCTACATATACTTTTTGCACAACAAAGCAGAAAATGGGGCTTCCGTTCGAAGAGCTCAAAGTCCAGACCACAAACTAAACATGACTGTTCTTCCATTTTATCGAAGAAGTGTGTATTTCTGAAATTGAAGAAAATGTTTTGACCAATTCTAGAATAGAACTATGATTTGAATCAACATTTATCAAAAAAGTTTGTTAGTCTGAATTGAATATTGGTTAATTTAAGGAAGTCCAATCCCCAGGTTCTGTAAATCAGCTTTAAAGTAATTGAAAATGCTCATAAAAATGTCTGATTTCACATAGTAACGTGAATTTACCCATGGAATTTCTTCAAAGTCATCATTTTAGTTTTAAATCATATTATGTAGGGGAAATTATCAAATCTCAAATATATTTTCAGGAAATGCGAATGAAACACCAGTTATGCAATTTCTGAACTAAATTGATTTAGGATAGAAAAATATAGGTATTCAGGCATTTGGAGAAAATTGCATCTTTTTTTTTCTTTTTTTGCTTGTACAGTATTTTAGTTCTTTTTATTCCAATTGTCAGATAATACATAGTGTAAAAAAGCTTGTGCTATCATTGCTAGACATCACATATCACATCTAATTTCATATCATGCTAATAAGCAGTGGTACCTAATGCTAGACTAAAGGAAATTCGATTTCTCTAAAAAATAAATTCATTTATTTTTTCTTTTATGGGGTACAAATGTCAACTTTTTGCAAGACCGTTTCTAAGACTTCAAAGCACTTTGAATCATATTAATTAAGAAGCATAAAATGAAAATTGTTGCACGAAAAGATCTCACTTTCAAGCTTCATTTTGAGGCTTTTTAAATAAAATAATAAATTTAAGAGTTATCCTTCCTGGCTGAGGATCGGATATCCTTAACATATCTTACTAATTTCATCATTACACCAAGATCAAACATAACAAGTATTTTAAAAAGATTATTACTTTGTTACATATGGAGGAGTCATCACTACATGCAAAAGCCATACCTGTTTTTAGTTGAGGACGTTTTACTACAGCTTTTCTCTGTTGGTCGTGTTATTCGGATTACAGTGTTGTTCGTTGACTGCCAGCAAGTTCTTCATCTTAAGCATAAATGCCTTCAGGTATTTTCTGCAAAGATCAGTCATGGAGATATGTAATTCCTTACATTAGTCATATCAAAGATTTTGTGCGAAGCATTATATAATCATCTATTAGAATCATTAAGTGTAACTGAAAATTACAAACAAAATTTTGTGCATCTTAATTAATGAGCAAGGACACAATGAACTTGATCTTTCTGCACTTAAATTTAAGTTTAATTTCACTCACTTTAAAATCAAACATATTTAACCAGATGTGATTATTAAAATAAACTTATTTTATGCAAAATAATTCAAATACTAGTACTATTTCATTAATTTAATATTAACCTCTTGAATATTTTATAATGCGCGTAAATATTGTGTGACCCTTTTGCACTAATAAAAACATCATATTTTGGGTATTAAAAATCTTAACAGACAATAAAATATTTTCATAGATCAAGCTATTCTTGAATTTATATTTGAGTCTCCCTGCATTTGCAGATTAATAATCCAATGCAAAGGATGTGACTTATTTACAAAATGTCTCGCATAACATTAGCAATTAAACTTTTTTTCAAATACATGTAATACACTAGGGACAGTAGAAAAAATAGAGCCTTAAGTTTCAAAGGACAACAGAAATAAGAAAATAAACATGTTGCTAAAAACTGATTCACAATAAAGACACATACGACAAGTAAATGTTCTTTTCTCCCACATAGAAGAGTTACGTACATTGCAATTTTTTCGATTATTGAAATCAACACAGGAAATTTTTAATTGTATAAAATGTAAAAATAGAATTTTGAAAATGTCCCCAGAAAGAGTATCAAATCTAAAGTGTTTCTAGATTTTGAACAGTAAAGTTTATTTCCCAACTTTTCACCAATTGATGTAGCTTGGTCATGAAGTTTTTTGACTGAATAGATATTACTTCGTTAGTCATAGAAACAATTAGAAATAGTCATTAATTTTGGATGAGAAAAACTGTGTTATTTATCCGTTGTGATCCACTTTCAGTCAGGGTACACACACACCCTAACACACACCCACACACACTCCCTAGCTCACAAATGCAAGCACATTCCATATACATGCTCTAAAAAGGGAATTTTATCAAATATAATTATATTACACATGAAAACGACATTCCGCAATTTGAAAGGTAAAGTTTAGTCCAACTCACTTTTTTATGTATGGAGAAGGGGATTAATATACGTTTTTCATTATTGGCTGTATGAAAATAGCAATAAGAAAAGGGTGAAGATAACGAACAGTAATCAATGAAATATGGAGATAACGAACACCAGCCAAGCTCAAAAGTCCATTAAAACAATACAAATCAGCAGAGCAAACACGGACCTCTAAAAACATCAGATGTGGTATCAGGTGCCAAGGTGGAGTAAGCATCCCCTGTCAAACGATCACACCTGCCGTGTGCTCCTTGTCATGATCTGGCAAAGTTCTAACGGAAAAATATGTCGACAATTCAGTGTGTAAACAATGGCCTTACAATTAGTATAAACATGTCTGTCAGCATTTGACTTAATGATAGATTGTATTTGATGACAAGGTCATTGTATCGACTATAGAACTTGCCAAATATTGACTTTAAACGTGACTGTTGATATCCTTGTTTCCTCCGCTTGTTTGCCAATAGCTTGCCTCGTTTTAGAAATTGTTCATACATAGAGCATGCAATTGCATATCGAATCAACTGGGAGAATAAACTCAATATGCAGGCTATAAGGGTATATTGCTCAATAAATTAGGGAAGTTGACAATAGAAAAATTTAAGTCATCACTTTTATCATAAACTTTTGTTCTTGGGTTACCATTACTGTCTTTTCTAGTAAAATATCTAAATATGAAACAGACGTGTAAGACTTTGTGGTATCTTTTATTTCAGGTTCACTTGGATATATCAAGTCAAGTCGACATATGAATGGAAGTAACTGTTGTTAATTGTTAATGCGTCGTCGATATATCTAAATGTTGAAGGCCACGGCAAGTGTTTAATTATTCTCTTGTATTAGTTTTTGAATAAATTCTGATTCACATGAATACAAAAAAGTTACAAAAAGGAACCCATGAGAATTCCGACAGATTGTTGGAAGACTTTAATTTCAAAAACTACAAGACATTGTTATGAAAAACCCAAGAATCTATTCAATATCAACTTTGGAGTACTTGTGTGAACAATCAGAATGTTTTAAACAAAAAATTTTGCAAATGACCAATGACAAGGTAAGTAAATTTATAAGTTCCATTTTTATTGAAAAAAAACTATCTGTCTATGATGTCAAAAACCTTTATATCATGGGGAATGTTTGGCAAGTGTTGAAAAATCATACGTTTTGATTTAGGGAAAATTTTGAAATTTCAAATTTATAAAACTTCCTTGGAATTTTTAGAATCCACATCTGAATAACATTATTTTGCGAATATATTGGTGTACAGTACTCATGAAATTTTTCCTTTACGGCTGTTAATATTTTAATTAGGAGCAAAGAAAGAGGCTTGATAGAAAATTTCCTGGAACCAGCTTTGTATCTTTGTAAGGATATTTATGTAGTTTAGGAATCAATTATAAGTATGGTAATTCAAATTCAATTTGTTTTCGGGGATATTAAAAATTTTCAAAACTGAAATATGATTTTGAAGAATTTCCTCCCCAGAAAGGTTGTTATAGGTATAAGATGAATTGCCATTTCCAGAATTAAATCCTAGCTCCTTTAAAAAACGATTAAAATAATAAGGCTTTATACAAACAAAGAAACAAACAGTCTTAAAAATCTGGTGAACAATTCGAATCATTAAAAGGACAAGAACACAAACTACTGGAAATTCCAGAGGTGGAATCAGGTGCCTAAGAGGAGTAAACATCCCCTGTTGACCAGTCACACCCACTGTGATATGCATTGATTAGGTTGACGGACAAGCCAGTAGACAAATTTAATATAAAAACAATGACCTAATTAATGGTATGAAACATTTCAGGCAAAATACGAAATGACCATTGTCAGAGGTTGTATTTAGAAAGTCATTATAATAACGACTATAGAATTTGCGTAAAGCTGATTATAATCGGAGTTGATGAAATCATTATAACATTAATTTATTTGTCAGTAGTTTGCCTTGGTTTAAAAATTGATCGTATTCAGAGCATTCTCTTGCGTATCGAATCAGTTGGTTATGATGATGTTAAAATAATTTCATCCAGTTTAGTTACTAGTAGGTCCCAATTGTCTATAGTCAGTAAAGCATGCAAATATGAAACGGATTTGACCTTCTCTGTAGTGTCTTTTATTTTGAGTTCACTGGGATATTTCGAGTCGACATCTGTATGAAGTAATCTGAAATTTCTCTTTAGCAGCAGTTAATATTTTTGAAGCTTGGTTGAACATTTACTAGACTTAACTGCAATACATCTTTGTAAGAATTTATATGAAGTTTTGTAACACAGTGTTGGCACGGTAAATTAAATTCACTTCCATTGACTGGAATGCTTAACATGTTTAAACACTTCACCTTTCGGAAGGGAACTCTGGGTAAATGTTTGATTACCGGATGGTGAATTAAACCAAGTTATAAATTATGAGCCTTACAAACAAAGACTACATTGTTTAATCAATCAAATCACTTTTGACCAAGGTCAGCAATATAATATTGTGTAAATGTATTGAATTTCTCAAAAACTATATGAAATTAAACTCTAAGATACATTTCTAATCTTAACAATGAATATCCTTATATGAGTTGCAAGACAGTGTCGACAAGTTCACCGAGTAAAACAAGATAAATAGTAACACAATCAAAACAGATGTTTCATTTCACCTGAATTCATTTCTTTTTTCAGCATTTGATATTTACCTATCATTACTTTCCTGATATCCATAAATAGTCATCCATAAACAATATGATTTTAAGGGTAAATGATGAGGACACACCAGGATTCATTTAAAATGAAACATCCACGTCCATGTTTACTTGAACAAGCACATTTTCAAAATGGCTGAGGCGGAAAATTTTTTAATCTGAATTCTAATGACTCATTTGTAGTTATGGCAATTTGTTTTAACAAAATCTTCATATTCTCTTTTTAAATGCGGTAATGGTAGTGTGGGATTCAAGTGATTTGGACTTGAAAATTCTGTATTTATATAGAAAGCGAAACATACTTTGAGAATATCCCTATCTATTTATTCTTTTGGGCAATATTATGCAATGTGCGCATGCCTTCTGACTCCTAAGTTGAAACTACGAAAGCCTATTAAGATCAAATTGCTACAAAAAAAATTGAAAGGCGTTATGCCATGGAGTGCAAAGTAGAAGGCGGAACAGTATGCCTTTCAAAAACGCAAGTGAACAGGCGCTGTTAATACAAAAAAGGCCATAATGCAAAACCATCTCATCATTTTGCGATTTCCATGTTGATTACTAAAGAATTAACAATGTGTGTCGGTTTGTTTAGCATGGCACCTTTTTATACCCACACTTTCAAAGAAAGTCAGGTATACTGTTGTTATTCTGGTCCGTCCGTCAGTCACATTATCTTCTTCCTCAACTCCTTTAACATTTTAAGGAATCAACTCGTCTTTTGGAATATGATTGATGGTGCCTTGAACATGTGCAAAAAGATTTTTGAAATTTCAATTTTTAACCTGGGGGCCAAATCTGGGTAAGACATCTTTTTGAAACAAAATCCTGGTTCCCTGATTTCCTCTTACATTTTTTTCGTCTAGTAGCCCATTCATATTTTGGAATATGATTGAGAATGTCCTGTAGATGTGTAGAAGGGTTTCAGAAATTCGGTATTTTTTAACCCTGGGGGTGGTGAACCTGGCTCTCAGGTAACTAAAGGAAAGTTCTCCAGTCAATCTGCACAATCATAAACCCAGGACGAAGAGCAACAGAAAGTTTTTGTTATAAGAATTACATGTAACATGTTTATTAATTTACATTAAAAGAATTAAAAAAAATAATAAATTTACTTACCTTGTCATTGGTCATTTGCAAAGTTATTTTGTGAAATAACATTCTGATTGTACACACAAGTACTCTGAAGTTGATATTTTAAAGATGCTTGAGTTGATTGACAATATTTATGTGGTTTTTGGAGACCAGGTCTTCCAACAATCTCTTGGAACTTCCATGGGTACCAATTGCGCCCCGTTGTTAGCAGATCTATTTTTGTATTCATATGAAGCAGAATTTATTCAAAATCATATACATGAGAAAAAGAAATCTCTTGTGACCTTCAAATCGACATTTAGATATATCGACAACATATTATCAATTAACAATAGTTATTTCCATTCATATGTCAACTCGATATATCCCAGTGAGCTTGAAATAGAAGATACCACAGACATATCTTTTTCATATTTGGATATTTTACTAGAAAAGGACGTTAATGGTAATCTAACAACAAAGATTTATAATAAACGTGATGACTTTAACTTTTCAATCGTCAACTTCCCTTACTAATGCAGCAGTACACCCTTATCACCTGCATATGAGGTGTATATCTCTCAGTTAATTCGATACGCAAGAGCAAGAGCATGCTCTTCGTATGAACAATTTCTTAAACAAGGCAAGTAATTGACAAACAAGTTGATGAAACAAGAATATCAACAGTCTCGTTTAAAGTCATCATTTCGTAAGTTCTATGGTCGATATAATGACCTTGTCTGCAAATACAATCTATCATTAAGTCATATGCTGATTGGCATTTTACATACTAATTGTTAGGCCATTATTTACACACTGAATTGTCGACGGATTTTTCCGTTATTTCCCGATTATGACAAGGAGCACACGGCGGGTGTGACCGGTCGGCAGGGGATGCTCACTCCTCCATGGGACCTGATCCCACCTCTGCTGTTTTTGGAGGTCCGCGTTTGATCTGCTCCCGATTTGTATTGTTTCAATGGACTTATCTCCATATTTCACAGTAATCAAACAAAACCCCAGTTCTGTGGCAAAAGGTCGAAAAAGCCATAAAATTGTAAAACTAAAGGAATTACCATTCAGGAGGCCGGTGATTGAATATATTCGCTCCTGAATAGTGAAATGAACATAAACATATCTACAAGAAGTTATACCCACGAAACAAAATCGGGGAGGAGGTTGGTTAGGAGTCACCTTATCTATCGGTTTGTCCGTTTAGTCATGCAATCATATTTGAAACAAGATTGCTTATGTACTAAGGAATTGTTATAACCTTGACCTAAGATTATTTGGGCAAGTTCAAAGGTCACTGGCATTAAAAGTATTATGTTTTGTCCTAAACTTAAAGGAAAAACACGGAAAGTGTACTCCACACAAATATTTCTGATGCTAGTGGGTGCGACAGGACCTTGAACCAAAGTCAATTTGGAAAGATGAAGGTCACATTAAAAAAAATGTATAATTCTGAGTCAGTTTTTTTTGGGGGGGGGGGGGGGGGGGGTATTGGGTGTTGACAACTCTTCCCCTTTCAGAAAAATGCCTGGATCAGGCATGATATATATAAGTAGGTTTCATATATTTAATCTGTAATTGCGCTATTTCCTTTACAAATATTTAGCAGTTTAGTCCATTTTTATCCCCATTTAATATAGAAAACTGTAATACATATAATCAAGCTAGCAAGAAATAAACAAAACAAGATATCTTTGAAAAACTGATGCCTATGAGGCGCCGTTTTGGTATTTATTGCCGTTTAGTGATATCACCTTTCGAATTGGCGATTTCACCTTTTCGAATTTGTGATATCACCTTATCAAATTGGTGATATCACCTATTGGAAATGAATCGGTGATATCACCTATTTAAATAGGCGATATCACCTATTCGAGTGAAAAGATGACATCACCTATTCGAAAAGGTGATATCACCTTTTCGAATTGATGATATCAACAATTCATTTCCGATAGGTGATATCACCAATTCGAAAAGGCGATATCACCTATTTGCATTTCTTACAACATTGAATAATGAATGCTCCCTTCCTCAAGATTATCTAGCTTTAATGAAAATTAAAGGAAGAAATTTTAAAAGGCTTTCAAAGAGCAATTTTATTTTCTTAGCATTGATTAAAATGAATTGATGAAGTGATTACATTACTCTTCAGCAAACATTTCAAAAAAGATTATAAAGTTTTTTGTTTTTTTGTTTTTTTTTTTTACTTTTTGTACTTAATTTGAGCAATTATAACCTCTACTAATTCCGCATTGCATTCATCAAATAAACTGTAGATAATTTATGGCACAAAGAGGAGATGGGGTCACTGTTTCTATATTACAATGTACACAAAAAGACCATAGAATAACCCGATTTGCATATTTAAAAAAAAAAGATTTTCATTAACCCTAAGCAAATTCGGGATGCCAATTCCCCTTGTGTTTAAGCCCATTTCAAAATACCATATATTATCGATCCCTGTGAAGCTATATAAATTTTACTTGCAATCAGTTTTGCTATATTTATCGCTACTCTCTCTCTCTCTGTTTTAATTATTTATGTACAAAGAGAGGGAACTTTTTACTTTCTGTATAAAGTAGACGTATGCGGTACATGTATAGTCTTGGGAGCAGTTGTTATAGGTGCTATTTGAATAGGTGCTATCACCAATTCATACGTGACATAAACTCGAACAGGTGATATCACTAATTCGAATAGATGATATCACCAACTGAATATGTGATATCTCCTATTCGAATAGGTGATATCATTTAGTGCCAGTAAATACCAAAACGGCCCCTCATAGATGCCCCCGTATGGCATCTTATGACAAAGGTTAAAGCTTCTCAAATGCAACCCAAACTCCAAGGTCAAGCGATCAAAAATGATGTTAAACAAAGAAAGGACTTGTTTCAATGAAGACACATGTACCTGTGGCATATGAAAGCCAAGTACCAACCGTTCAAAAGTTATGACCATAGTTACAGTTTTTAAAAGGTGGATCAAACTCCAAGGTCAAGGATATCAAATTAATGGTAACCAGAAGGTCTTGTCAAAAAAAAGTATACATGTGAAATATATATAGCAACAACTGCTCAAAAATTATTGCCAATGTTAAAGTTTTCAAAAATACGTCTTACTTCAAGGTCAAAAGTCAAAATTGTTGGCATCCAAAGAAAGGTAATGACACAAGGAATACACAAACATGAAAGTCCCAGTAAAAAATATTTAAGAGTTATGATCATGGTTAAAGTTTGTAAAAAGTGGGTCAAACCCTAAGGTAAAGGTCAAAAATATTTATACCCAAGGAAAGATCTTGTCACAATAGTACCAACTGTTCAAAAGTTATGCCCAAGGTTAAAGTTTTTTTTTTTTTTTTTTTTTTTTTTTTTTTTTTTTTTTTTTTTTTGCAAACGTGGATCAAACTCCAAGATCAGGTTCAAGGTGTCAAATATGTTGGTACCCAAACAAAGGTCTTGTCACAAGGAATACACGTGCGAATTATATGAAAGCTATTGCTTCAACCAATCAGAGGTTAAAGTATTTGCGGACAAACAGACAGATAGACGGACGGACATGCCAAAAACTATATATCCCCGAGTCTTCGAGTTCGGGGGCATAAACCATGCAGAAAATATGATTAAGGTCAAAGTTTTTCAAAATTACGCGAAACCCTAAGGTCAAGGTCAAAAGATCAAAATCATTGGTATCCAAAGAAAATACTACCACCAGGGTAAACATGAATACCCTAGCACCAAACACTTAAATATTACTAGCATGAGCAAGATTAAAGTATTGCAAAAGTAATTCAAACTCCAAGGTCAAAATTGAAATTGTTGACACTCAAAAGAAGTTCTTTTCACGAGGGAAATATACATGTGAAATATGAAAACCCTAGCACCAACCATTCAAAAGTTAGAGCAAAGGTTAAAGTTTTTCAATAGTGGGGCAAACTCCTAGGTCAATGTCAAAAGTCAAAATTGTTGGTACCTACAGTCTTGTCAAAAGAA